CTTTTTTTTTTTTTTTTGGAAAGGCTCCAACCTCACAAACAGACTTAAAGTGCTATAAACATCTCCAGGGCTGAGTGCTCAGCCCCCAAATGTTCTCTCTGAAAGCATGGACATTGCAGCTACTGCTTTTCATCCCCGCTTTAAGAGAGATTTTTTTATTACCCGATGTGTCCATCAAGCCAAGCAGTGGCTGTGCGTTATGGCACTGTGTAAGGGTGGCCGTGCTTGTCCCTAACCTTGATGCCACCACATCTCTATCCGGAAGCCAGCAGAGCACCCTGTGCGGAGCACCCCCAACACTGGGGGTTGGCATCTTTGCTTCATTTTGCACCCAGATGCAAAAGCCATGGGTGTTGCCATCAGCACCTATTGCATTTTGTCTGTGTGCTGTGGCTGTGCTGAGACCCGCCTGCGGGTCCTCTTGGCAGTGTGAGGGAGAGCAGACGCCACTGTGGGTCCTTGCTCAAGGCTCAGGGGGCTGCTGCACTGCTTCCATCGAAAAAGCATCACCCTGCAGGGACTGGCAGGGATCCTAGATGTTAAAACCTGGCATTTGATGCACAGCATTGATGTTTAGCAGCAGCTTGCTTCATGCATGTCTGCATCCAAGCTCCCTGCTTGCCCCCCTGCCAGCCCCTTGTCACAACTGGGCCATGAAAGCATCCCCCCAACACAGCGGGGCTGGTGCGTGCGTGGTGGCTGCAAACAGATATACAAGATGTATTTTATTTTTGCCATCCATGTTCCAGCTAGGAAAGCAGTTTCTTTGGGATGTTCATAGGGAGCAGGCTTAGAGCTCAAGTTTCCTTCTGATTTCAGAAAAAGCCCTGAAGGCTGATTGGCTTTTTTCCCCAAAAGCACAGAGATCATTACTGCAGCTCCTTAGCCCATCAGATCACTCCAATATTAAAGGAAAAGAAGTTGATATGGTCAATATAAGGGCCCATACAGCCTGTTACCTTGCCCAAGACATTTTGTCCCCACCCCTGAGCCTGCCCCGTGCCTTGTGTGTGGTGCTTCAGCTGCTGGCAGGGTTCAAGCCAGCACAGCAAACTCCATCAGCATTAGCAAGAGCTGGCAGCTGCTGCGAGGGGCCAAAACCCACATGTGCCTCCTGCCCAGCCAGTCCTTAGCAGAGGGAACTTTCCCACTTTTTTTCCTGAGTCTGGATGCACTGCAGAAAGGACGCGATGGCATGCAGCTTCCCATCACAGCAATGGAGATATCCTGCGCTCCCCTCATATAAATCTCCTTGCCCTAGGAAGAGCAAGTGGCAGGGTAATGCCCAGCAGGGAAGCCACGGCCTCCTCTCACTGTGTACACCCACACCAGACCTAGCGGGGCCCACAAAGCAGCTGAGTTAGGCTGAAGCACAAGCCCAGCCCTGGCAGCTCCCCTGGACCATGGCTGACCCAGCACAGCCCAGTGGACATCCCGGAGAGGATGCAGAAAGCCTTGCACCCACCCCACCTCACTCCAGCACCTGAGACATTGCCTCGAGGCACGTTCTTCCTGCTTTCTGGGTACTCAGCCAGCTGAGAGGACCGTGAATTATCCAGGACAGGCCCACAGGTGTGACAGGCTGAGCGCTGTGTGAGTCTATGCCCAGCTCTTACAAAACTCCAGCCCTGAACGAGCCACCCTGGGGACCAACATGCAACAGGTGGACCTGGCACTGCTGATGGAAGTGGCATTTTTAAGACCATTTAATTCAGCAAAGTGGTTGTGTGACATGGTGAAAAGTCCTGTCAGCTGGGGGAGGTTGGTTACCCATAAAGGATCTGTCTTACATAAGTTAGGTGACAACTAGAGGGATGGACAGACAGCTATACTTTTGTGGCCCTTGCTCCCCAGGATGAGAGCTTGAGCAGAGCTTTCCAAGGGCTGTGATGGCACTGAGTTGTCTCCTATCCTTACTGCTTCCAAGGAATCAAGTCACTCCCTGAAAGATAAACACGCAGAGGCATCATCCCAACACTGTGCTTTTATTTATAGTATTTTGTTTGGACCCAGGGAAAAATAAAACCAAAGCAGAACTCAACCCGAATGGGAGAGGAGCATGCCACTTGGTTCAGCAGCCCTCCCCTCCCCACAGAGGAGCTGACCAGTCAGCACAGGCTGCTCTGGTGAGACCTGCAATGCAATACTTGCATTTAATACATTAAAATAATACTTGGGGGCTTCTCCAGGCCCTCTGTCCCCTCCCTCCC